TAATGATTGAGCATTAATACCACTATAGGTTGGCCAGTAACATTTGTCACCAGTTATCCATGAGTGAGGTACAATTTGAACGCCATCGGAAAACTCAACCACGCACCAAGACTTGGACATTGTGTTTAAATATATATTCATTTACATGGGCTGTAAAAATAATATTCAATTTGCTAATTTTACTTGTGAAGTAGGGGAAATACAGCAAAACCGCTGGCATGAGGGAGCCTCAAACATTTAGCGCTTATTTCATTAGCAGGCCACATTTCAAAGTTTTCACTTAAATTATCCACATAGAAACATAAATTATTTGAAGATGGACATGGTTTTTGATAAAAGTCAGTGACAGTAAGAAACTGTTTTCCAATAATCACATATTGCGCAATTTCATTGCAATATGCAAAATTATGTATTTCTATTATTATTCTTCCTATGTGACAACAATTATCTGGGTTTTTGATAGAAAAAAACCAATTTAATATCTGCTTTGTCCGCAACTGATCTCTAAATGAAATATTTGGTATTAGTGGCCCATCATTGTGATACATTTTATTTTCTTTTTGATCTTCTTCATACTTATTGCACGCTGACGATGACTGAATTTCCATATACCGTCTATGAATCTGTTGCAATGGTTTTTCAGGCTTACTAATAAACGTTTTCAAATTTTTCATGAAATTTTCAAAAGGGAAAGCACTGAAAGCGTCGAGGTGTCCAAAGCGTTCAACATCATTTTTAATATGGATCAAACCATGAATGTTGTGGGAAACGAACTCTTCTCCGTAAATAACAATAAATGATTGAATAAAATGTGAAATCAAATCGTGAGCATATTGGAGCTGAACTACGTCGTGTTTTTCGTCACAGAAAATTCTGATTGCTATGTGTAGACTCAAAAAATGGTAATATAAAGTGGGTGGGAGTACCTGATATAAAACCACAGGTCCTGTATAAAGAAGGAACTGTCTCAGTTCTGTAGCCTTCCAGTTACTATAACACTGAAGTTCCTGAGGCTTTCTAGCAAACTCTCGAACAATAAATGGTTTCATTTGTATTAAACTTTTGGAAATGATATTGACTTTCGCTGCCGATAGACGTACTTGTAGGGGACCCTTGATCCAAAAAGAAATAATTTTTTTGACGACGCCGATACATACTAGATGCATATAGTCCAACGGGATATCCAGGACTATATCAAAATTTGGAATATTGAGCAAAATTGAGGTGCCTAAATGATATTCAGCATTTTCTTGCATAATAAAAGACGCTTCTGTTCTTTTCTTAGAATTGGTTGATGGGAAACTCATACGTCCCTGAATGAAGATACCCTCCTGTTCACATTTAGTACAGCTGAAGTAACCTGTGTGACCTTTTGTTTTAGTTATGAAGGATTTCGCTGGTGCATCTGCTATCAAGCAATGAATTGATATATTAAATTTAACTTCCTTATATGTCAGACCCTCTTGAATTAAAATACTAATATCATCTACGAAGGCCTGCAAAAACTCATTGGAGTCGGCAGGTTTGCTATACCCATGGTAAACACCAATCATAAAAACTCTCGAAGTAGGATGAATACAACCAAGTATTGGCCAGAGTTGACTGGTGTTGGAGTCTGATATGGGTAATCCATCAATGCCAATTTTTATGCAAATTTCTTTAAATTGATATTTTTTTATATCCGCCTCAATGGCATTTAGTAAAGTTGAGGTTAAATCAAAGTGATAGTACTGCCCTGGACTTATATATTTGATATTAGTAGTCCTAGGTGTTTTCAGTAAAGTTCTAGAATCTTTAGGGAGGTTCGCTCCACTATCATGTTTTTGTAATATCTTAAGTAAGTCCGAAACAGCGCTCCGTTTTATTTTGTGTTTTGTAGCCCAATAACTGAGCTGCAGTTTCAATGGTGTAACATTATTTTCAATTTCTCCTTCATTTTCTACCTGATTTTCTACTACTAAATCGTTCTCACTATTATTGTTCACAATATAATTATTGTGATTAACTTGATGTTCTTCGAATGCAATATCGACAGCGTCTAAAAAACTATTAGGGTCTTCATTTATCGATTTTGGCAACTCTGAAGGCGAACCCATAAATTGATCATCAGGGCAATTGGAGGAGTAATTAAATTCATTGATGTTACTATTATTTATTTCATTGATGCAAACTGAACTGCAACTCGCTGAATTGTCATGGAACGCCGGAGAATCTTTAATTTGTTCGTTTGTCTGAATAAGACGACGCAAGTGTCTTTTTGATAAGTCAAGAATACATTTTCTTTTACGAGACGCCATTTTCTGTAACATCAAATAGGCATCATCAAAAAATGAAGCAGTATTTTACCAGCATTTTGTACAGACGAAAATATAGAATAACTTTATACATATTAGCATTATTCCAAAAATGTTTCGATTGTGCTTGCTGTACAGGGTGTCCCAAATTCGAGCAGTATCATTGGGATATAGGAAACGGTAAGAGATACAGGGTCGGTTAAATTAGGACAAAGTTGCGCAATTTTATAACCAATAAAACGCCGTTTTGAAATTTGAAAAATTCCGGATACTTCAGAAGATATTCGGAAAAAGCCAAAATTTTGTAAAATCGTTTGTATTATTTCCTGGGCCTATTTGAAGAGCAATTTTAAAATAAATGTCACTTCATCGTTGTCACTTTTTACTCTTCCCTTTACTGCCTAAGTATACTTAGGCAGTAATTAACAATTCAAAATTTCATATGACGTTGGCCGACATAACCTAATTCTAATTTATTTTTTGGCCCATTTATAGTCAAATCGAACGGAAATCGTTTGGTGGTCACGAATTTACCGAATTTAACGTTTGGTAGTCAATAATACCGGAGATATTAATCAATTAAGATTGTTTTCTGATATATTCTAATTATTCGTCGCGCATGCGCATATATTATCTGTTTTTCATTGAGCCGCCTCGATCGCGGCGTTGCCTACCTATTCTATAATTTTCAATCAAATCAATTATTTCATTACAATCAACGAATAATTAGGTAGGTATCTATACTTACTCGAATACTGAAAATAGGTATACATCGTGATTTACTTAGCCCGTGCATTAATAAGAAGTTTTTTAGGTTGCAAGTGGATTACTAGAGATAGCATTTGATCCAACTGCAATCTTATTTTTCCCACCGCCAGTTCCGGATCGCAACGGCAACGCCGCGATCGAGGCGGCTCAATGAAAAACAGATAATATATGCGCATGCGCGACGATTAATTAAAATATATCAGAAAACAATCTTAATTGATTAATTACTCCGGTATTATTGACTAACAAACGCTAAATTCGGTAAATTCGTGACCACCAAACGATTTCCGTTCGATTTGACTATAAATGGGCCAAAAAATAAATTAGAATCAGGTTATGTCGGCCAACGTCATATGAAATTTTTAATTGTTAATTACTGCCTAAGTAATTACCACCAAATATTAAAAGTGGGATACCAAAGACCACCAAACGATTGAGTATGGCGAATATTGAAAAATTAACATTTGGTCGGCCAAATACATGTTGCCACATTTGACTAGGGGATCACCCAGGCCACAGCCCCCTACATTTAACAAGCCATGAAGTTAAAAAGGCAACACCGCAATCTTACCGCCAAGTGGTGCTGGTGGTGTTTGTTTGTATAAATATATATTTTTTATTTTATTAATATGAATCACAAAAAATACATAATTTATTGTACTAAAGGGCCAAAAACAGTAATTCAATGAATAATTTAACTATTTGTGTAAATAAGAACAGTAAATAATTGATTTAAATGAATATATTTCTAGAGTCTAAAGTGTTATAGGCCTATGTTTCAGTATGTCTTTTGAAAATCTAACTTTTTCTTTCTTCGGGATTTTTTCGGAAGGCAAGTCCATTCAAATACTTGAGCTGATTTTCGAAAATAAGAGGTACCTACTTTTAAGAGTTGGAAGTTTTAGTTTGAACTCTCGAACTACGCCTTTATCCTTGTTTGTTTCAAATCTAATTATTTCGGTTTCTTCAAAATGTTTACAACACACCACAGAATTTTTCGTTATTGTATAATCTCGGGTATAATTATCTTGGTGTATTGCTTTCATCCACATTTTTTGCACTTCAGAATTTTTTTGGAAATAAAAATGTTTGCATTTCTTCAGTTTTTAAGGAACTCCTAATAGTTCGATTTGCACCCAGGAACACAGTAGTTTCATGGCATCTGGAACAAGTTTAAATATCTTAGGTAATATATCGAGACCTATGCTCTTGCAGACAAATATTAATATTGTTTTTATTGTTTTACGTTACCTTACCTTTATTTTTGCTCCTGTACCCATTTGCTAAAAATTTGCAATCAAAGCACAAAGGAACAGGTATCAACTAAATATGGGCAAATATTGATGTGTTTCTATCCACTTTTTCGTCAATAATGCCCATAAAAATACTAAATTGCAACAATACACAATGAAAGCAATACACAGAAACACATAACGCGGGTGAGCTGGCAATACCTCCTATGTTATCTTGCCTCACTTTTCAGGACGTCATAAAAACTATGTAACTCTGGAATGGCTTGCTAGATTGCTTTTTTATTTGGAATGATGATAAAATAGTACACAAGAATAAGATTTTTATGATAGTTGAGAAAAAATTGTAACACCATTGGTTTTAAATGCACTTTAGGAGCGATTGCTTTTATAAAGTTGGAATATAGGACATTATGCTCTCGATTTTTGCTATAAAGGGAGTTATTGAAATGAAGGAAAAATTGAGCTTACATTAGTTTTATTATTTTCAAAAGTAACTCAGGATTGCATTTCTAAAAATTCTAAGAAATATAAAAAATATTCAAAAGTAGGTACATAGATACAAAAAAACAAAATAAAAAAATATCCAAATTCAGTAAAATAAACTGAGATTAACACAAAATAAAAAAACATTCAAATTCAGTAAAACAAACTAAGAGTAACACAACACAACAACAAAAACTACATCTTATTTGGTATACAAAATATTGTCATAAAATGCATGAGTGTCTTTAGGCAGTACCGATTTAAGTTCCTGTAGATGTTCCCATTTAGATTTTTTAATTTTGCTAGGTGCACTTAACAGGGGTGGGTATGAATCAATAACTGGGATCGATTTGGGCCTAACTGGCAGACTTATATAGGGTTCTTCATAGGAAAGCTTAACAGTTATTTCAGGAGTTGGCAGCGCAGTGTATCTGATACATCTTATGTCATTTATTCCTGGCTCATAGGCTCTTTTGCCAGGTCTGAGAGAAGTGTATCTTAAATGTTTAGTTTCTGCATAGTTTTTAAAGAAATTAAATTCCAGCAACTTTACATCATAAGGTCTAGGAGTAACCCTACATTCTCTTGACACTGAGCAATAATCACTTGGTAAGTGAATTTCTCTGTTTTTTAATTTACGCTCAATTAGGCTATGAACCGAGTCACATTCCATTTGGGTATGCCCCGGTTCAAGATACTTTTGGTAAATGGTAACTTCATGTTTCATTGCCAAGTTCAGCAAAGCATTCGCCAACATTTTGTTTCGGTTTTGAAAACCACATCCGTCAGAGTAGATGATAATTGGTACTTTGGATTCTGTTATGCATTTGGATTCTAAATGATCAATAATACACGTTGTAAACGTAGATGCACATAAGTCACTATTCTGATCTTCAGAAAACCAATAGCATGTGACGTCCCTTGTGGCAAGATCATAGATAGTGAAATTATGACAGCATAATTTTGTCTTGAAGTATAGTTTTCCTGCAGGAACATAAGGCGACAACTTAACCGCTTGCAAATCCATTGTCAAAACAATACATTTACCCTCTTCTGCTAACTTTTTGTCTTTGATTTTTTCTTCCCTAGCTTTATTTTTATTTTCAATGTGTGTTTTCCACTTTGACTCCTCAATGTTATTATATTTATAGGAAAAGCAAGTATTGCACTGATCCTTCTTAGGTGAAAATATAGAGAGGTTTTTCTCTTTAAACGCTTTTCTGAAAATTTTTCTGTTGAGTGGCTGACCAGTATCGACTTCTGTGCAATAGTCTGTGTAAGCTTTATAAAGATCAGTGAAGGTCTGGAAGGATTGCTCTAGGTAGAGTTTTGAGGTATCTTTTCTACAATAATGTGCTGGCAACTTAGGTAACTGCTCAAAAAATGTATTTAGATTTTTGTACTGATTAGCGTATTTATCCTTGTTATAGTTGGTGTTCCTGGAAGATTCGGAACCCATGCCAAATGTGCCCTTACTTACCCAATCTTGGATAGTTTTATATCCTAGGTCTAAAGTTTTTATGAACATTTGCCTACAAACTTGAAGTCTTTTGTCTCCTGAATTCAAATAATATAAGTATGTACCCTGTCTTCGCGATGCTTCTCTACCCCGTGCAGTATTTTGTTTTGATTACATTCGAAGATACAAAAACCTTTCTTTGACCCCAATCCGTTTCGTTCCAAAATTTACTAAAAATTTGTTGTCGTGTTTCTTCTGTAAATTGTTGACAAAATCTCTTAGTACTTTTTTTGCATTTTGTAGATTTGCATGTTTCTTTCAATCTTCGTTCAACCCTTTGAGTATCCTGCTTCATTTTCTCTCCTTTCTTCTTGCTAAAACCGAGATAAGGTTTTCCTTCTAGCCTTAGTTTTTTATTTTTATTTCTTTTCCACTCTTCCGAATTGGCAACTAATCTTCTTTTACGCGCCTTATTATTTTCTTCTTGATTCCCAATTTCTGCATCTAAATTGGCATTTTCTGTTCGATCAATCATCTCCGAATCCTCCGAATCGGAACTATTATTGTTGATTTCCGATTCGGGTTGGTAGTCTGAATCGTTATCTTTTTCATTATCATAGGTTGATTGGTAATTCTGTTCTACGACTCCTAAAACACAAAAAATAGGTCAGTATACTTTTGTAGATTTTAATGCTGAATCAAATAATTACCATCGTTTTTTTCTAGTGAGCTACTCCTCACTGATTCACTGCCAGTTTCATTGTTATCAAGCAAATCATTCATTACTTCAGATCTTTCTAGATTATTTGTTGATTGTTCAAGTTCTGAATTGATCGATATTTCCAAAGGATTTAGCAGAGTTTGATTAATCAGCACACCATTTTCATCTAGCTCATACATATAAGATTCCTCTTCAAGCGATACTGTAGCGTTATCCTCCAACAGGCTATCAAAGCACAGGGAAACAAGATTGTTTTCTTCATTATCTTCTTTAGAATTCTCAAGCTCATTCTGTCCATCTAGCATCACCACCGGTAGATTTTCAATATCAAATTTTATTTTTTTTGTACTTTCGGTAGGTTCAATGACGTTAATATTATCACAGTTAGTTCCATTATAAGTCTTATTTTGTTTATTATCATTAGTATTCTTCGTTTGTTCATCAGTCTTATTAAATTCATTATTATCAATATCACTTTTGGATTTTTGGTTGGTAGTTATCATAGCTAAAATTTTCTTGCCGCGTGAAGTCATTCTGACAAAACCTCCTATTTGCACAATATTCTTAGATATTTTTCGAGGCAAAAGCTCCTATCTAAAAGAAAAACCTTATAAGGCTATTATGGCAATAATCTTTCTATTTTTCAATATTGGAATTAAATTTCATAATGAGAAGACTAAGGTTAAAAGTATAATAACTCAAAACTTACCGCCTAAGCCACTATTAGCTTCAAAAATAGGAAAATTCGGGAGCACGACACACATAACAACTTGCCTCAAATAAAACTCAACTCAAACTCAACTCAAATCTCTTTATTTTCAAAATTCATCAGTTTCACATACATATGGGGGTGGGGGAGTGAGGCTCCCCTCAAACAATACATATATAAACAAGGACTAAAACTAAGGACAAGGCTTAAAACTAAAAACACTCAGTGTGCGCAGCACACTGCGCGCCACATGCGCGCCTGGCGAGCTATGTGGCGCTTTTTCCAGCTTGGCCGATGTTCTGGCCGACAAGCCATCGCCCTTTTCCCATTGGATCTGTTCTCAACGTTCCCTGGTTGCCCTTTCACGTTATTATGTGACCTTTCAGTCGTTGGTAAGTACCACGGATGGCGCGCATTGGGCCACTATACTGGCCCGCTCAAAAAATAAGGGGTTGATGCAGGATGTGTGATGTCGAGCGCGCAGCGCCCTCTTTGTGGGGAAAAGTTCCAAAAAACCCCACTTCCAATTAATTTAATAGTATAAAGAAAACAAAAAAGCCGTACCCCGTAGGGCGATGTGGTCCGTCATGGACGCTACCTCAACAGCAAAGTGTGAGCTAGGGATTTGTGCGCGTGAGCGCGGGTTTGGATTAAATGGGGTCGAAAGCCCTGCACCCCGACCAATCCTGAGACCTGATGAGTCCCAGGTAATGGTTTGGGTGCAGGTGAAGGAAGATTGTAAGGGATGTCAGAGAATGAGGGTTGGGAGGATTGGGTGCAAGAATCTACCGGGATTGGGACATGCATTTGCAGCTAAATTGGGCAGTTTTCGCCTAAGTGTAGTGGTCAGATTGGGGTTGTCCGATGATTGATTAGACAATTGCATTTCCTCATAGCCAGCGATAAAGGAGATGTTAACACACTAGATCGCTGACCAGTTGGAATTTTCCGAAGAACAGATGATAGAAATAGACCTTTGATTGGGATTGCCAGAGCCTCCTGCTTTAGGCTAAGGCAGCTGTGCATTGGTTTGGGTTAATACTTGGGCTTGTGGTTAGCAGGTACAGGATAGGGAAGTGTTCATGGGGGTTCAAAATAGATAGGTAGATTCTTGTAGGGCGGACCGTGCACTATGGGGTTGTCTGGATCATATCTTTGTGCAGTGCAGCAAATAAAACTGTGTAATCGGAGATATTGCAATACTGTTTTTGGGCAGCATTTTAATAGGAGAAATTTCAAGGCCAAATTTTCAAACAAACGAGATTTTTGGCCAATAGGAGATGTTTACTAACGGTTGCGGAACGTGCATCTGTATCTATATCACAATAAAGCTCAAAATCGTAAAAATGCGAGATAGGAGATATTGCCAGCTCAGCCGCGATAACCCAATAACAAAATAGCACCATACGCGACGTTGCCGTCATTTCCAATTTCATGGCTTGTTAACTATAGGAGGCTGTGCCCAGGCTGATGTACATTTTCTTTTTTCAGTCGTGTTCATTAGAAAAAGATAAATAACAAACAGCTGTGATTCTGTGATCGGCTGTTGCAATCCAAGGAGAATACACAATACACACTCTAATGCCTGATTCTGACTTGCGCGAAATTCGCCCTTTTTTGACATTCCCTGCATTTTTATTCTCATCAAATTTTAGCGATGGATCCACCATTCTATGTCGGTCATTGTCATTTTCCATTCACTAAACGAAGATAGCTAATTCATCGGTGAAGTCACCGATTAAAATAAAAAAGAGGGGATATCTTCGACAATTTGACGTTTTATGCGTGTATCAAACGTCAATTTGTCGATGCAATAGCCACTTTCCAGCTGACGCTTTTGAGCACGCAGTCGAGCTTTTGCGCGCGCAAATGCTTTAAACTTTAAGCGCGTGTTCGTTCCAGCCGTACTGCGCTTCGAGAGCTGGCTAACTTTTGCGTTTCAAACACAGAATACTGTGCTGCACCGTGCTTGAAGCACACAGCTGGAAAGCGGCTTATGTCAAAAAAGAGCGAATTTCGCGCAAGTGAGAATGGGGCATAAGGAGTGCTTATCAGCCTCGATTTTGGTAATCGCCGCCATATTGGTGTGATACCATTTCCGACGTCAGCTGTTTAAACAGCCTCCGTCAAGCAAGAAGTGCAAATGACATTCTGTCTACGTCACAACTGGTATTTTGGCGTGGGAGGGATTTGTTACATACAGGCAGTGATGTGCCTGTAGACAATGTCAACGTAAACAATTGATTGTCTACGTGTAGAAAATTCGAATTGTTTACGTGAGCATTTGTCTACACATTGTCGACACGCGGCGTAAACAATAACTTATTTTAAAAAATTCGAAAAAAAATATCAAAAGTTACTATACTATCACTATCACTTCGATATCAGCATTCACTGATTATAAAATATCAGGAAAACCAATAATAAAATAAAAATAATTTAAAAAAAGGAAAGTGTGAGGTTAGAATTAAAGGTCATTTATATTATTTTACATTGTTGACACGTTGTCTACATTGTCTACATTGTCTACGCGTAAAGTAGACAATGAAAGTCTACGTGTAGACGCACATCCCTGCATACAGGCCTTATGAGAATAGGCCATTCTGTAGTAGCAATGAGTGGGTATCATCCTTGGATGGAATCAGCGTTTCTAAAATGGCCTCTTGACAATCTTGACACGTGACGTGAAATACATAATTCTTTTCTAAAAAATTGGGCGCTTGGTCTTTGCTATGCCACGAGTTATGACTTGGCTCTCGTGGACTCGTGCTGGGATGAATTTAATTTTTTCGGTTAATAAACACCAAAAATGCCCACAAAATGCTCACATCTTGCCAATGCTCCCATTTTTACCCCCAGATCTATAAAATGCTCACAAATGTGAGCAAATGCTCACACATTGGTAACACTGTTAGCCGCTTTCTTGCTGACCATTTTGAGCACGCAATCGAGCTTTTGCGCGCGCAAATGCTTCAAGCGCGTGTTCGTGTTCCAGCCCTACTGCGAGAGAGCTGCTAACTTTTGCGTTTCAAACACAGAACACTGTGCTGCACCGTGCTTGATGGACACAGCTGGAAAGCGGCTTTTGTTGACAAGTTGCGAAACGCTAACATAACATTCTTCTTTCTTTGTAATAAATCTTTATTTGTTGGAGTATCAAATTGTGTCTTCAAAATAAAATAAATGAAAAGCAAATCTAAAAAAATTAGAAAGAAACTGCTCTACAAGCTGCTGCAATGGGATGAGCTCTTTTCATAGACAACAGATGGCACCCCAAATGGTTGTCCGACCCGTATCACGCGAGTGTCTATTCTATTCCCACTATAAATCTTATTCTATGATCTTTATTCATTCATTCATGAACTCTACAAACCAAACACTCATCTCAACTCAAATAATCTACAAAAATCGTACTGTAAACTACCGTTTATTTACTGTTAAAAATGATAAAAATTATTATTCACCAAATTTACTGCACTCACACCCAATGAACTATAACAAAAAACTGGAATGCGAACACATATTGACGAACGTGAAGCCTAGTGCCGCTGCTGCGGAGGGGATACCTGTTTTTGTCGCACTCATTATGTTAAATAGCAAAAATTGCTTCCCACACGTATTCCAATCAATGAAATCTGTGAAGGTAAATATGAGAAAACTTTCCAAAACGTCATAATATGTCAGCAAGCAACAGAAAAGAACAACATTCCCCTAGTGGCATCTGTCTTCCATGGCTACATTTTTTTGGGAGATATGGCAATGTGTGCGCATTCCAGTTTTTGACTATAGTTCATTGCTCACACCACACCACCCACCATGCATTCCAAATCACACACAACACAATCAAACCAAACAGTATTGCCAGGTTGAAAATAAGGAAAGCGGTAGGCATGACATAAAAAAAGCGGTAGAAAAACGGTAGATATTAAAATCTGTTTTTTTTTTTAAAGATAATTCCCCAAGTCAAAAATTTAGTAACTATGTTGGCAACACAAGCCTTTTCTACATGAAAAATTTGATAGCATTGACAATTTTACATTGTATTGCCAACCTAATGTCAGTTTGACTTTTATCTTTAAAAAAAAAACGCACTACTCGATTTGGGCTAAAAATAGACTAGAAATGATAAGTTATAGGTACAACAAAATGTACATACATAGAATATATAAATAAGAACAAATTAGGATAAACACAAAACACTATATAGATTTTACCAAATATTTTATTAGGGTGAATCATATCATATGTGAACATACTTATGGTCGGTTTCAAAAAAAAAAAAACTCTAAAGGCTCATCCTCAATCAATTTAGTAGCGAAGTGGCACTTCGGCACGCAAGCTAGGAAAATGTTGTTTAACGTTGGCATCCTCAATTCAATTCCGTGCTGGCATGCACGTCGACTCTGAAGTGAAGGTTGCAAGCTGCCAGCTTTTTTGATGCGTGCCGACTTATGTCATGCGCAGTACAGTGAAAAATAATTTAGGTTAACCTTGCGTTCGGTATTTTCCTCAAAGAGCAGAGCGGAGCCGTAATCACGTGAACAGCGAGCGCACAGAGCAGTTAAACGCTGTATCAGAGGGCTCGAAATTTTATTAAACGAACGTGAATGAGCACCGAGTACACTTTTTGAATAAACGAACGGTAAATTCATGATCAGAGAACTTAGATCAAAATACCGAATGCACGGTATGTAACCGTACTACACGCACAGTAAACTGAAAATTGACAGCATTGAGGATGGGTATAAATTTTCCAGCACGCGTGCCAAAGTGCCACTTCGCTACCAGATTGATTGAGGATGTAGCTTAATAGTACATTAAAAT